ATTAGGAGTATCCAATAGTGAAATTTTACATGGAGCAGGCACTGGCTACAAATCATCATTTATCTATATGTATCAAAAGAAAAGATGTTTTTTTGTCCAAAAAATAAGGAAATCAATTTGTAACATTGAAATTTTTTGCAATACAGAAAAACATCTGATGAAGTGTGGGCCAAAATAAAAATTTAGTGGTGATGAACTTTTCGGTCTAAAGGATCCTATTACTCAAAAAAAATTGACAGATCATCAAAAAAACTTACCTGTACATCTAAGGATTGGAATAATTTAAATATCATGGAACCTTTGTACTTATATCATTTAAAGTCACATACATTAGCTGATGTTGATTGGTACAAATTGTTTAAAAATTGGTCTCTTCAAAGCAGCAATATTATTGAGATTCGATCAGAACTTTCCTGTATATATCCTTCTGATTATATTTTTAATGACAGGGAGTATCATGCTTGGCGTTCATTAATAAAAGCTGCAGGTGACACAAACATAACACCATTTAATAAAAAGGAATCACTGGTATTGCATTTTATAAAAATCAATCATTTTAAGAATTTATTAACATCAGTATCTTTATTTATAATTTTTAGTATGAATTTTGGACAAGAAATCCTAATCCTTCATATGATAAGGAAACACTATTTATGCTTTATGATAAAGGATTCCTTTCTCCTACTCCATCTCCAAGTGAACCAATATGTGACCTAGAAACATGTAACAATGCTCAATGGTTTGCTAAAAGTATTTCTGATGCCACAGATGCAAACAAAAAAGGGGGTCTGATTCATTTCATCAACAATCATTTTGTCAAAAGTTTGTTTCATCAAAAGTTTATTTCGTCAAAAGTTCATTTCATCAAAAGTTCATTTTGTCAACAATCACTTCATCAACAATTATTTCATCAACAATCATTTCATCGACAATCATTTTGTCAAAAGTTCATTTTGTCAAAAAGTTCATTTTGTCAAAAATTATTTCGTCGACAGTTTATTTTGTCAACAGTTCATTTCTACAACAATTCATGTTAATTTACATGTATTACAGTGTCACCAATTATGTTTGGAAAAGCGTGAATTAATTGATTTATTATGTTTATGTGGAATAGGTTTACTAACATATTAATTTAATTAGTGGATAACTTTGGTTTTAAATGTTTATTTATTTTATTTAGTCGAAACTAATAAAGATTTAGAGCTATGTTTTAACACAAAATTTTAATCTATGATATTATTATTAAAGTATACTTTTGTAATTAAAGCAAAAAATTTGTCTGATAGCTTTATTGTAAGGCTTCTGGTCTAATATACCTACTTCTATATAAAAACCGTTGGAAAACCCAAATCGACAAAATAGTTTGAGCTTTGAGAAACAGTTTGGGCTAGAAACCTTACTTGATTGTCAGGCCCATTTAATCATACGATTTTAATAATATCAAAATGTTAATTTACATGTATTACAGTGTCACCAATTATGTTTGGAAAAGCGTGAATTAATTGATTTATTATGTTTATGTGGAATAGGTTTACTAACATATTAATTTAATTAGTGGATAACTTTGGTTTTAAATGTTTATTTATTTTATTTAGTCGAAACTAATTAAAGATTTAGAGCTATGTTTTAACACAAAATTTTAATCCATGATATTATTATTAAAGTATACTTTTGTAATTAAAGCACAA